GCAGCTGCCAGCCAGAGCACAGTCTTTCCCATGGGCAGCATGCACAGTCAGCCCAGGACCACAGTGGTGAGCTACCAAGCAGGATCCTCAGCCTCTGACCCCAAGGATGGGTGGTACCTGGGACCCTGGGTGGTCAGAGTGGGCATCTGTGCTCTTGTTTGGCCCAGCCTCCCTGCTCCTATGTGGGGGCTGATGGCATTACCATAAGATGGAAGCACTTATGTGGGCAAGCCCTGTTCCTATGCACTGGGCTGGGCCTAGGCCTCCCAGGAGAGACCTGCACTTGGGGAGCCAGGTGCACGTACCAGGTCTAGATGCTAAGCACTTCTCTACCTTCTTTTCCTTCCTCTGAGCTGAGGTGAGCTGGGTCCTAGAGGGGCAGTGCCTGCTGCTGCTTTTTCAGAGCAGGCTCATCCATAGGAGTCTGGGCTGGTGGGGGGTGGAGGTCCTGGTGCCTGCACCTATGGCTCTGTGCTCCTGGGCAGGGCCTTAGCCCTGTCCCCCTCCCCCAACAGAAGGGCAGCTGTGTGGGCTGTACTCAGCTCCCCCAGGTGCCTGCAGCATGTGCAAGTCAGGGTCACTGCTCTGGACTGTGGAGGGTGATGAGACCTGGTCTCCTCTGGCCAGTCCTGTTCCTGCCCTGGGGACCCTCTCAGGCCCTCAGGAGCATATTTCTTCAGGAAAGAGAGAATATGAGCCCAAGCTGACCCAGTCTGAGGGTGTATCCGGGCAGCTGGATCCTGGAAAGCACCTGAACCAGGGTGGGCCCCACCTGTCGGCCAGGCTGAGCCCTGCAGGTACCTGACTCCTGTAGACCTAGGTAGGGTGTATAGTTCTCAAAGAGGCTTGTGCTCTAGTTTGGTTTGAGTGGCGGCAGCCAGAACAGTCTGGAGCAGAGCTGGAGCCACTGGCAGGGGTGTCTCCTGTCTCCTATCTGCTCTCCATTATGCCCCCACTGTCCTGACCAGCACTAGGCTCTGCAGGAGTTCCTGGAAGGAAAGGGAGTGGAGGGGGAGCCCTGGACCCCCAGAGGCCCAGCACTACCTCTGAGCCATTCTACCCCTGATCAGGAGCCCTGGGCAGCTGTCCGCAAGTCATGTCCAGAGAGGAACAGCGGGGCCAGCCTGCTGTGAGTGCTTACCTGGCAGATGCCCGCAAGGCCCTAGGGTCTGCAGGCTGCAGCCAGCTCCTGGCAGCACTGAAGGCATATAAACGTGATGGTGACCTCAACAAGGTTCTGGCTGTGCTAGCTGCGCTGACCACCTCAAAGCCTGAGGACTTCCCCCTGCTGCAGAGCAAGTGGCCCCAGGGTGGGGTGGGCAGGGCAGGAGAGCTGTGGAGAGGATGGTGTGGGCCTGGCCACGCAGGGTAGGTACAGCCTGAGCAAAACTCCGCACAGGGTTCAGCATGTTCGTGCGTCCCCACCACAAACAGCACTTCATGCAGACCTGTGCAGAACTGATGGGCCTGCCCACCACGGGGACAACACTGCAGAGTCCTCAGGAGAGCTTCCCTGAGCTCACCCTTGGAGCACCTCAAGCAGGTGGGCACCTGTTTGGGCACTCTCTCTGCCCGTTCTGTCACACTTGAGTCACCTGCAGCCCTGGGAAAGCGGGAAGGCAGGAGGGCAGCACTGGACACCCCTCCAACTTGCTCCTTTCTGCAGGTCCCTCACAGGTGGATAAACCAGGGAAGACCCAGAGCAAGATCTCCTCTTTCCTTAGACAGAGGCCAGTGGGAAGTGCAGTGCCCAAGGGCACCACCACAGACCAACACCAGGCCTCCTGATGGGCATGCAAATCCTGGGTGGGGTAAGCTGTACGAGGCTGCACAGACTGCTAAGTGTGGGGGATGGCACTGGGAGGGCAAGTGAGCTCACCCAGGGCCCCTTGTACCAGGTTTCCAGGCAGAGAACACAGTGCCTCTCCTTTGATTTCCACTTCTGGTGATGGCATTTCAGGTGGTGGGCTGGGTAGGAAGAAGTTAAGGCCCTTCACTAGGCCGTGGTGTTCAGCAGACATGCCCAGCAACCTGATGTCTCCACAGGCCTCCAGGAGGTGTCCTGTCATGCTGCTGCCAGGAAGCACATCACACAGGTCTTCTGGCCCAAGCTCCAGTAAACATCTGTGGAGTACCTTGTGTCCTGCTGTGGCCCCCACACTGGCTTGTCCCAGGTGTGGTATGGTCCAGGAGTCACCCTCTACAGGCCTCAGACACATGGGGCCTGGGATAGGTCTGCTAGAAATTCTTCTAACTTTCCCCAGGGGCCTCTGTCAGCTATGTGCAAATAAAGCTGCCGACAGTGGCCAAGAGGTGTCTGTGTGACCTTGCTTGTTGGGGTATCTGAGGATACACTGAAGATCTGGGCAGCAGGGAGGGTGCTCTTGGTACTCTCAGAGGAGACCTGCATGTATGTATGTTGGGCCAGCCCCCTCATCCCCTACCAATCACATCTTGGGCTCCACCCAGGAGGGTTCCTGCCTTACCTAGCACAAGGACAGTGGCCAAGACAGAACTGAGCATTCCCACAGGCTGGCATGCTTTTTCCTATTGCTTGGCAGGCAAGCTGCAGCAAGCACATGGCAGTGGCCCCTTGCCTGTGCTTGGGGGGTTTGGACTGGGCAATGCCCACTCCAGCAAGGACAAGAACACTGGAGAGACTGGTCCTGTTGCCCTGATGGGCACTCCCTACGCTGGAGCTGGTGTGACCCAATGCCCAACCCTACCCCCTTCACACAGCCAGGACCAAGTGCAGGTGCAGGAGCTTGAGGCAGCGCTGCCTGGCTGTATTTCACAAATGTGCCTGGCACCACACCCTGGCTCCTTTGTGCATGCAGGTTTCTGGCAGGTGCATGAGAATCTGCACATCAGTTCTGGTCCCCTCCCTGGGACCATACAGTGCCAGCCTGTGCACTAGTTACACCCTCTCCTGCCCCCAGCCCAGGACCAGCAGAGCAGCCTGGAAGGCACAGCAGCTAGGGAGGGCCTCCAGAAGCTTCATAGGGTTGGGAACTCCAAGTTCCCACTAAGTCTTTAAGCTTTTCAGGGTTGCAGAGGGCTAGGATTCAAGTTGGGCTAAGCTCCACTGGAGAAGTCCCAGAAGAATCTTGGACACACATTCCCTGCCCTTGGGAAAGGCCACTGCTTCCTTGGACAGGCCCAGAGAGCCCAGGTTTCTGAGATGCAGATGCTAACCTTTGTCCTACCACACCTCATGCCTGAACCTCCCTGTCCCTCCCAATTCTTTCTATAGATAGGGCAGACCCCTCGGCCCTTGCACTGGCTACCCTGGTCTGGAGCTGCTGGGCGGCTGCCCCACCCCTGTGCTGCCTGGGCTTTATATTCCATCTTTGCCCTGTACTCTGCAGTTTACTTTTGGTCTGTGAAACTGGTGGCCCATGTGCCCACTCTGACACTCCTGCAGGGAGACAAAGGAATGTTGAGTATATTATCACTGACTTGGTGGATTCCCAGGGCATCTCCAAGAGGCTGTGGTGGCTGGAGAACAGGTCGCCACCCAGGGAGAGTGGCATGGCTTTGCAGTCAACACTCAGCTGATGTGGCACACCCTATTCCGCAGCACCTTATTTATGTCTTGCCGCACACCCTCACCCTGCCTCTAGACCCCAACATCACCAAGGGAGACTTCTTAAGGTTTATTTTAAAAAGCCATTTTGTAAGACTTGCTGCTTTAAAGTCATGTTTCTGTTAACGGCAGGCAGGGATGCCTGGTGGGGAGTTCCACCCATACCTGAAACACCAGGGCATATCACCCACAGGAAGGTCTGTGCAACACCCATTTCCCCAGGTCTTGCTCTGGTTAAGTAGCACAGGAAGGATGGGGGAGCACCCACAGGACGTCTCACTGTGCTAGAGGGACCCCTTTACCCTGATCTTTTGAGTCTCACCCACTTCTAATGTGCAAGGGGATTTCCCATGAGAAGCCCGGTCAAGGACCTCAAGCATCCCATTGCCTTCTCAGAAACAAGGTGGCCTCCAGAGCTATCCAGAGAGCCTAAGGAACTGGGTCTGCCACCCTCTCCCCTTCCAGGGTGGCCAGGTCCTTCCTGAGGCTGGAGACCCTCAGGTCCTAAGAATCAACCTGCAGAACACCCTTTGGGGCCTGCAAGGGTGGGAACAGAGACTTTATCAAGGACTACAGCTAGACGCCCATTTCCCACCCCCTCCAAGATAAAGTCTGGTTGTGACCTGATCTGGAACAAAGAGCCACCAATTCTCTGGACTGTGGCTGGGCTCACTGCCTTGCTACCTGGCTTGTGTCAGCTCCCTACTTGGAGCCCACACCCACAGGATGCAGTCATGGCTCCTTACTTGCCTGGGGAGTTCCCACCTGCCACCTGCCCACCCTGAGGGCCCATGGTACAGTTCCTTGCTACAGTCACTCTGCCAGACAGAAGGGAACCTGGCCTTTGGGCTGCTCCATGGAATGGATGGACAGGAGCTGCTTTGACTGCATTGCTGCCCTGGCTGCACTGGAAGGGCAGAGTGCTATCTCCAGAAACGCCACCCAACCTGCAGGGTAAGAAGGACATACACACCTGCACGACCTCCCAGCATTTTCATGTTACCCCTCCCCTGGGGACTAAAGCAAGATGATAATGGACCAGTGGGCATGGCCACCTAGGAAGGTCTCCACTCCGTCCCAAGGTTCCACCAAAGCCCAGGGCCCTGCTGTGGACCAGATCCTCTCAAGGTAAGACCAGCCCCAGACCACCTCCAATATGAGGCATAGCCATACCTGCCTCCTCATGGGAAAGCTGGACAGAATACCCACCAGAGCCAGATCCTCATTTCCAACCCATCTCCCTAAAACCCCCACCTTGAATGGGCAGGCAGGCCTCAAGGGCAGCCTGTCTACCAGGGCCTCACCCAGCTCCATGCCTGGACTGGGAAGGGCTCCCAGCCTGTGGTGGCCTGCCTGGAGCCAGGTGGGCCCAGCTGCCCGGCGCCTCTTGGCAGAAGCCTCTGGATGCCTACAGTTTTCCAGACAGAGTAGTTTGTCTTACAGAAAACACAGAGCAAATGAAGGAAGCAAAAGGCAAAGCAAACCCAACCCCCGGCCCCATGGCACAGGAGCCTGTGGCGGGGAGCGAGCTTCTTCAGCACTTGTAGAAGGGCCATCCAAGGCAGGGCTCAGGTGTGCCTATGTGATGTCCCTCTGCCGTGGTGGCCGGTGGACGTTCCGCACGACGCACTTCACCATCCACTCGATGCCCTCGCGCACTCCTTTGCTGTAGAGACAGTGGTGTGAGGCAGAGTCGGCCTCGGTGCCCAGGCCCCTGTTGGGGAGGCCCACTCACCCCGTGAGGGCAGAGCAGGCTTGGGTCAGGCAGTCTCGCCTGCCAATCTTGCAGGTGCAGTCACTGAACGCAGTCTTGATGTCAGGAATTGAGAGGCAAGTCTGGGGGAAGAGGAGGCCCTAAGAAGCAGCCCCCATGCCTGCCCCATCCAGGCTGCATGGCAAGGACCAACCCCACCCTGACAGCAGTCCCTACAGCAGCCACAGTGAGAACGTGGGCTCCAAGTAGGGAGCTGACACAAGCCAGGTAGCAAGGCAGTGGGTCTCAGTGGCCCTGGTGGGCAGGGTGAGGGAGGGGGAAGTGGCAGTGTCAGCCATGGGGTGGCTTCTCCACTCACCCTTCCCTGAAAGAAGACCCCACCCCGTGACAGACAACCCCCATTAGTGGTTTCCAGATGCAGGAGCAGGGCTGGTGGGGCAGGTCTGCAAGGAAGCAAGGGAGACAGGCTAGGGAAGGGGCAGAGGCACTTCCGGAGAGTGATGCTTTCCCTGGCCCTCCAGACACTGGCAGCCACTGTGGTCTGCAGCTGCTCTGTGCAGAGCCTCTCCATGGCAGCATCACCTCCAAGGGGTCCCAAAGGCTTGGGGGAGGTTTGGTACAGACACTGGCTCCAATGATGGTGGGGACAGGATGGGGTCAGAGCTGACTCTCACTCAAGGGCCCCTCACAACTTGTGAGCTCAGAGCTGTCACCTGGGTCTCCCCAGTCCCACGCTAGGACAGAGCACAGTCACCCTCCAGAGGAGAAAAGATGCCCACACAGAAGGAATATGTCTCTGAGGTGCTACCCTCCCCTCACCAAGATCCTGGCACTTCCCTAGGGAAGAGGTGGTACCTACAGCAGGGTGAGAGCGCCTACAGCGAGGATGGCTCTGCCTAGTGATGAGAGGAACTGGGCTCCGGGAGCTGGAGGTCCTGAGCACATGAGACAGAGAGGCCTCAAGAGCTCTGTGCACCCAGAAGGACGTGCAGCTCTCAGCATGAGGGTACACACACACCACTCTCCTTATAGTTGGGACACAGGGACTCCAGAGAAGTTGTGTGGGGCTCACCTCCACATCCTGCTTGTTGGCCAACACCAGGATGGGGACACCGTCCAGCGCCTCGCTTGCCACCACCTTCTCTGGAGAGGGTACGACAGGCAGCACCTTGCACCCTGCATCCTGATAGCAGGCAGTGCCCGGGGCCCACAAGCATGGAGAGTGGCACCAACTCTCCTTTCACCCTCCCCTCATATGCCAGGAAGCCAGCTCCAAACACATGGACCAGACCGGACCATGTCCAGGCTAGATCCGACCTCCCCTCACTTCTCCCCGCACAGCCCTGGGACATAGATTCTTGCCTCTGCTCTATCTGGGTTACACTCACCAAATGCCTGCTTCGACTCAGACAGCCTCTCCTCGTCAGTGGAGTCGATGACATAGATGACACCATGGCACTCTGCATAGTACTAGGAAGACATGGAAGATGGCTTGAGCCACCACCCTGCCAAGGGTGGACTTGGCCAAGCTCCCCGTCATGGCCATCAGGAGGGGTCCATAAAAGGAAGATTCTCACTTCAGGGGCCACAGTCAGGTAACAGGTGCAGCCCCAAGGGGAAGATCTGCTGGGGTGCTTTCTGGAGCTGGGGGAACTCAGTTGTAGACACACATCCAGGGCCTTTTAGGGAAAGGCTTGTTGACCCTGATGATGCAGTCATCCTTCTCCTGCCTAGGTGCTGACCTGAGAACCCACCAGCGGCCGTGGGCTGATGGTGGCATTAAAGAGACAGGGCTGGGAGAAGTCCGGATCTTAGCCTAGTCTCTGTGAGGAGTGCACCTGGGGGTTTGTGTAGCACCTGGCACAAGGGGGAGCACAGCAATGGGGATGCAAGAGGGGCAGGCATGTTTCTGACAAGGCACTCGGAGAAACCTACAAAGCTGCCCTGCCCCTGCTAGGACAGTCAGCCCTACTGAGTTCAGACCTCTGCAGGCTGGACATGGCCAGCCCTGGGCTCACCAAGGGTGATAAGTGGGCAGCACTACTGGGGCAAGACAGAGGGCAAGGCAGACACAGGAGGTGCAGGTCTACATGGCAAAAGCCAAAGATTCAGCAGGTGTACTTTCACCCCAAGCAGAACAGAATTTGGGAGACTGCCATGTCCTTGTGGCACAGATAACAGCATGCCTGCCACTTCACCCGGGGCTACACCAACTCTCCTGTCCCAGCACACTGGTACTCGGCATTGACGAGTACCAGGATGTGCTCTTGAAGAACAAGACAAGCCAGCGGTCACATGCACCCCTCAGGTGGGCAATAACTGGAGAAGCAGCAGGCTGCTAGCTCTGCAAGAGCCTTAGGGCTTCTGGTCCAGGAACAGATAAGCCACTGCACCTGAGAAATAGGAGGCTCAGTTCCAGATGTCCTCCTGGGTTCTACAGTGAGACCCATACACTGGAGCTGCTCTGGCCTGGAGCTAGGCCTGGCGCACAGGCTGCCAGCTCTAGGAGGGCTGGGCAATAGGCTGGCCTCTTGCTACAGACTCAGGAGCTGGCAGGTTCTACCAGAGGGTCTATAGCCAGCCCAGTGAGTCCCAGTAGCACCTGAAGTGCATGAGCAAGGCACAGTTAGGATAACTGGGTGTCAGACTTTGGAATTCAGAGCCACCCTGAACACCTACCATGCACAAGATGAATGGCTCAGAGATAGCCAGTGAGATGGGAATAGCACATTAGCTCTCCAACAGATGCAACACACCTCTGGCCATGTAAGAAAGCCCTGAACAACCCAAAAGGGAAATACCCAAGCATGGGTCAGCTAGACAGGTAAGGACAAGCCAGAGCTGAAGAGCAGCTCACCTGCTTGTGTGAGAAGTCGTGGCCTGAGATGCATGTGTGCCAACTTGTGGACAGCATGGACACAGGGCCTGGAGCAGAGGCAAGCAGCAGGCACAAGGAGTAGAGACCTTGGTGCCTATGTAAGGTCCACCAGAGCAGCTGCTGGGGATAAAGTGATTTGGCCAGCCCAGTGCAGGGATGTAGCACTGGGTGAGTGAGAGGCGGTGACTGGTGGCAGAGCACAAGCCTAATGGGACAGGCTCCTCTCACCAAGGCTGAGGGAACCACCACCAGGGATGAAGCCTGACAGTGACAGCAGGGCTGAAGCTCAACAGGGTGTGGTCCTCAAGGAAATCAGAGGAACTCTGGAGACAAATTAATCTCAGCAGCAATGGGTACTCCCACCATGAGATGTCAGCCCATGATCCAATATGTCACACAGCCCCAGAGGCTCCTGTAAGCCGCTGTCATGGCATGGGCCCCACACCTGGACAGTCTCACGCAGGGCTGGGCCAGCCACAGTATTCACCTAGCGGCAGCCTGCAGGGGGCCAGGCCTCAGGATGAGATCAGCACTCCCAGTTAGAGACCTGAGGTACTGGGCTCCAACAAGGAGGTCACAGCATTCAGGGACCACAGTGGAATATAGGCCCCTTCCTGTCCCTCCCAGTAACCTATGGGGGACTCGGCTGACTGTCCCCATAACTGAGGGCTCTGTGGGGTTGGAGGTCTGCTCACTAAAGCAGCAAGTGCTCCATAGAGTTGCTGAGTCATAAACCATGGCTGCCTGGGAGACCCCACCTTGGCAAGGTAACTGACACCAGTTGGCAGGGGCAGGGAAACCCAGTGAGCCATCTGGACAAGGGCTTAGACCACTAGGATGAAGTCATGCCTCAGCAAAATGGTGACAACAAAGATGAACACAGCCCAGGATCAGGTGACAAGACTATAGGCCCACATTCTCCTGGGCCAGCCTCCCCTTGAGAAGAGCCATTCCCCAGAGCAAAGATATGAACACAAGTGGTACGCAGCTGGCCATGGGGCCCCACTGCAGTCTTGCTACCCAGTGGCAGGCACTTTGGCTATTGCAGGACCCACTTTGGCTGCCAAGAGCCATCTTACCAATCACACCTGTCCACACCGGTGACAGGAGGAGTCCTAGTCATCTTTGTCCAACATGGTACAGCTGTGACAAGCAACTCTCCTCCTGTACTCCCAGCTTGCCAAGGCCCTGCTGACCCCATCACCCAAAGTGACGTTTCCCCCTGCTCAGTCCTGTACCCTGCTTGCTGCCTTCCCAGCACAGATCCCCAATGTGCACACTATGCCCAACCCATCCTGGCCTCCATTCCTGAGACCCTGGCTCCCCAGCTGCATCTGCATTTAGATGAGAAGACCCTGACTTGGCTTATTCTCTGTCCATCTTCAGGCCACAGGACCAACACCATCCTCTTGACTGGAAGTCAGGGTAGGACAGAACACTTTGGTGGGACCCAAGAAAGGAGACCAAGGTCAGAATCAGGTGCAGGTCCTCAGGTTTTTGTATTTTCTTTTCTCTTATGCAGTCTGGGGACTGAACCCAGGGACACTTTTCCACTAAGTTACATCTCTTAACTTATTTTATTTGCGTGGTGCTGGGGATTGAACCCAGGGCCTTGGGCATGTGAGACAAGCACTCTAACAACTGAGTTATATCCCCAGCCCCTTTTTTATTTTTTGAGACAGGGTGTTGCTACATTGCTGAGGCTGACCTTGAACTTGGAATCCTACTGTCTCAGCCTCCCTGGGATTACAGGCATGTTCCACCATGCCTGGCTGGATACTGTGTGTGAGGGTAGCTGAGGCATCTGCACTATAGCACTGGGCTCCCCTAAACCCACAGTGCCAACTCATGGGGCAGGAGTTCCCTAAGGGAAGGGCCAGGTCTGTCCTGCTCAGTACCGGACCCAGTGCCTGGCATAGGTTAAGCTGAACCCACACTATAATCTAGGCTGTGTATGGAGAGGGGTACCACACTGGGGTCTCAGAAATGCCCATAACCTACATCAAAACAGGAAGCAGTTTCTGTCTGCTTGAGGACACTCCCTGGTATGGGGAAAAAGCTACCAGAGAAAAATGTATAATGAGCTAGAATTGAGACAGATGGATCCACCTGCAGATGCAGGTTCTGTGCCCACCCCTCATCTGATTCTTGCCATTTTTGCCTGTATCCTGTGGTGATCGGCAACTAAATTACTCTAAGCAGGAAGGAAACAAGTGCATTCTCACTTGGCAAGCGATGATGGTGGTGAAGAGACCTCCTGCTTCTCCCATTTTTTCTCTTATGCTGAGAAACAGTTGCCTTGATGACTCTGTGACCAGGCCAGCTGCCTGATTTTCCCAGCAAGCTTGAGCCCTAGCTGGGGCCTTGAACATTCTCTGGTCTTGGTAAGTGTTGGCTTACCCCAAAGTTATTCCTAGTTTGACTGTTCCCCAAAATGCTCAAAAAGAACTGAAGTGGTCCTGAGCCAGATGCCTTAAAATGCCCAGGTAAACCCCATTCCTGGCCTGCTGGTTTAGAGCAATCCTTTCCATCATTAACTGCCAAAAGACAGGTTGCAGCTCTCTGTGTTCCCCCAGGAAGTACTCTGTGCTGACCACCACAGGAATCCCCTGCTGCCACTTTTGTGGTGACTCTAGCAGCATGTTTGGCTGGAATGAAACAGGGAGTGACTGGGAAACCTGGGACAGAACCAGAGAGAACCCTCAGGGAAAAAAGTGGGTAATGGACTTTCACAGAGGAAGACCAAGAGCTATTATCTGCAAAGAAATGCTGTGGGGACAGACTTGAATGTCTTACCTTGTCCCACAAGGACTGCAGCTCTTCCTGTCCTCCTAAGTCCCAGAACATGAGGCGAGTCTTTCCCACATCTACAGTACCAACTGGGGAGAAGAGAGAATGGGCAAGCTCATGACATTAGTCTTTGACACACCAAGTCCCAGCTCTCCTAGGGAAAGGGCAAACCACTCTGGTGCCACCCACAGGGGTCTGGGAAGCAGCGTAACACACAGGGCTCTGGCCACTGATGGGCTGAATTGTGGCCATAACAGCATCCTTAGGGGTACCCCTAAATTCACAGCTTTAAGGTGCATCTTACTGTTTAGACCCACGGTGGTAGTGATTTTAGACAGACTCATGCCCTTGTACTGCTTGTTAAACCGGGTTTTCGACTGCTCCAGGAAGGTCTGAGGAGAAAGGAAAAGGCAGCTAAGGCAGTTTTCCAGGTGTGCTTCTCAAATACTCTTATTTTTTTATTTACTTATTTTTTGTACTAGAGCATTAACCCAAGGGTGCTTTATCACTGAGCTACGTCTCCACTCCACCCCCACCTTTTTAAAATTCTGAGACAGGGTCTCACTAAATTGCTTAGGGACTGGTAAATTGCTCAGGCTGATTCTGAACTTGCCATCTTCCCGCCTCAGCCTCCTGAGTTGCTGGGATTACGGGTCTAACCTTTAAAAAACAAAAAGAGAAACCAAACAGATCCGTGTGCTGCTCTTCAAGAATCTGGTGGTGATCACGGCCCTGTGGTGCACAGCAGCTACGGGTATAACCCCCAGCAGACCCTGGCAGGGAGGGGCCGGGCAGGCACCTACCGTCTTCCCGGCGTTGTCCAGGCCCAGGATCAGGATGCAGTACTCATCCTTCTGGAACATGTACTTGTACAGCCCGGACAGCAGTGTGTACATCCTGCCTGGGGACCCGAGAGACGACATGGTGCGCACCGCCAGCACCCCACTCCCCTGGCTTCCCCTACGGTCCGTCCGTCCTGCGGGCAGCTCAACTCGAGTCCGGGCGTTCCCGGCCACTCTGGAAGACCCCTGACCCAGCTCTTCCCCGACCACTCCCACCGCAGCTCGTTCCGCGGGTGGGCAATGGCCGGCCTTTCAGAGTCCAGGCCCTTTCCTGTCCCTTCCCTCTCCCGCCTCCCAAGCCTCTCTCCCTCTGGACCACGTACTTGGAACACGCCTGCAACTTGCAGCCGCGGTCCAGGGCTAGCCAGTTCCCGAAGCGCTCACTGGCGGGGCCGGGTTCCTGTGCCACACCCGCCGCGGCCCACCTGCACCCGCACCGACGCCGCAGCCTCCGCAGCGACTTCGGAGCCTCTGCCGCTGAGGTCCTGACTCGGCCGACCCCGCGTTGACCCCCCGCGCGGCGCTAGACTGGACGCGGGTCGAGGTCGGGACTAGGCCGCGTCCCGGCGGCCCCCGCGCGCGGGCACTTCCGGCGGTGGCGGCGCTCGGGAGGAAGTGCCAGCGGCGGGCGGAAGGCGGGCGCAACCGCTGTGGCGTAGAGGCCGGCGGGCCCTTGACGGCGGCGCGGGAGGCGGCGGCGCCGGCTGCCGCGCGCCTGAGCGAGCCTGCCGTTACGGGCGAGCGGCCGAGCCGGCACCCCTGGCCGCGCTCCCGCCGCTCCGCCCGCGCCCCTCCCCGGACCCGCGCGGCCGTCGAGATGGACGAGGAGAGCCTGGAGGCGGCCCTGCAGACCTACCGCGCCCAGCTGCGGCAGGTGGAGCTGGCCCTGGGGGCCGGCCTGGAGGCGGCCGAGCAGGCCGACCTGCGCCAGCTGCAGGCCGACCTGCGCGAGCTGATCGGGCTCACCGAGGCCAGCCTGGTGTCCGTCCGCAAGAGCAAGCTGCTGGCCGCGCTGGACGCCGAGGCCGCGGGGGTGCCCGCCGGCCCGGAGATGGGCCCGGAGGGAGAGGCGGGGCCGGGACCCGCGGAGCGCGGGCGCGCGGAGCCGGACCCGGAGCCGGACCCGGACCCCGACCCGGACCCCGACCCGGACCCGGACCCGGACCCGGACCCGGACCCGGGAGAGCTGAGCGGCGCCAAAGTGAACGCCCCCTACCGCAGTGCGTGGGGCACGCTGGAGTATCACAACGCCATGGTGGTGGGCACCGAGGCGGCCGAGGACGGCTCGGCGGGCGTGCGCGTGCTCTACCTCTACCCAACTCACAAGTCCCTGAAGCCCTGCCCGTTCTTCCTGGAGGGGAAGTGCCGCTTCAAGGACAGCTGCAGGTGAGGCCTTGCCCTGCCCGGGGAGTTGCAGCGGTGTCCCGACGAGGTGTTTACTTGGATTTTTTTTTTTTTTTTTTTGAGAAATCAATAAGTCTGCGTTTATATTGTAAAGAACAATACCCGCCCATCATCAGTTTACTCTCCAGAGTGAACCTTAAAATTAGTTTTTTGTTTTTTGTTTTTTGTTTTTTTGGCGGTGTCGAGGATCAATCCACATACTGGGCAAGCGCTCTGCCACTGACTTGTACCTCAAACCCCAGGATTTACAGGAGTTTTCAAACATGCACAAGATTAGAGCGGTGACAACTGCCAGCTTCATTATTTATCACA